TCACCCGTGTGCCATCACCAAAGGATATGTAGGTAAATTTTAAGCAAAAATGGAATCACACATATGTATGTGTATGTGTATGGTAATTTTCAAAATTAAACAGATATTTGTAAATTAATTCCGGACCTCTCCACAATTTGAGCAAAGAGACATGTCTTGTTGAACTGCCCCCCTCAGATTTTATCGTCTGAAAGTTTTATCCCCTCAGCTAAACTGACAGCAGTTGTTCTCCACTCCCTTACTCTACCTTCTCGGGTCATGGTTAGCTATTCGAGAGGATGTGGTGGTGCACAACTGGCCTCACTTGAGCTGGTCAGATATTTTTTTCTACCTAGAATTTTGAATTGAAAGACAGAAATTGGGATTCACTGTAGCCAAATCACATGATATCCATGAACTATGGCTGAGGTCTCCAAAACTGCTTGCGTTCTTTTTCCTCTTAAGAGCTGCAAAACTCTTCTGGCTTTTTGTTGCACTTGTTTTACCTCAGATAAAAATGAAGCTGAAGGATGAATACGCAAAGTACAGAGGATTTCTAGGGCAACAAAACTACCCTATGATACTAAATGGTAAATGCATGTCTCTATACATTTGCTCCAGCCCAAAGAATATACAACAGCAGTAGTGAACCCTAAGGCAAACTGGCTTTGAGTGATAATGATGTGGCAATATAGGCTCAGCAGTTCTAACAAATGTAGCACACAGGTAGGTGATGTTGAGGTGCATAAGCTGGGGTAGGAGATATATGGGAATCTCTGTAGCTTCTTCTCAGTTTTTGCTACTCTTAAGAAAGAAAAGGCCGGCCCTCCCTGGTGGCGCAGGGGGTTAAAGCACTGCACTGAGAAGCTAAAGCCACTTCCGCATGAGTTCGATTCCCGCCTGCCCCGGAGGCGACCACATGGCGAGGCAGACCTCTCCTGACCCGCCCGCTGCTCCCCTCAGCAGTGTAATTCATTGGTCTCTCTGTTCTGCTTCCCACTCTGTCTCTGGTGAATCCTCTCACCCTCCACATCTCTGGCTTGTACCCCAGTTCTGTACGAATAAATAAATAAATCTTTAAAAAAAAAAAAAAAAAGAAAAAGGCCTTTATTAAAAAAAAATGACAATTTTTTTTATTATAATAGTTTATTTTACATCATTTTGTGCCTTTTTTCTCAGTCGTAATCCCCGTGGATTTCCTATCACCAGTTCACCCGTGTGCCATCACCATAGTCCTGTGTACTTCCTCCCCAGACCCCCCGCTTTTGATCCCAATCCCCACTCCACCCCATAAAATGTCTGGTATATAGTTGCTCATTATTATTTTTTACCCTGGTCCTTTATGCTCCTGCTATGAGTGAAACCATCTGGTATTTTTCCTTTTCTTTCTGGTTTATTTCACTAAGCATGATCCTTCCCAACTCCATCCTTGTTGCTGCAAAAGGCATGAGTTTATCTTTTTTGGTTGCTGAATAATATTCCATTGTGTATATATACCACATCTTTTTAATCCAGTTATCTACTTCTGGGCATTTGGGCTGATTCCATGTCTTTCCTATTGTAAATAGAGCAGCAATAAACATGAGGTGCAGGTGTCTTTTTGAATCAGTGTTTTGTGTCCCTTGGTAGATACCTAGGAATGGGATTGCTGGGTCTTATGGAAACTCCATGTTTAGCAGTTTGAGGAACCTCCAAACAGTTTTCCATAGTGGTTGTACTAGTTTGCATTCCCACCAGCAGTGAAAGAAAGTTCCTTTCTCTCCACATCCTTGCTAACATTTGTTGTTGCTAGTTGTTTGAAGATGTGCCATTCTCACTGGGGTGAGGTGGTATCTCATTGTGGGTTTAGTTTGCATCTCCCTTGTTACAAGTGATGCTGAACATTTTTCAAAAGATAGGCCCTCCCTGGTGGCGCAGCGGGTTAAAGCACAGCACTAAGAAGCTTAAGCCACTTCTGCATGGGTTCGATCCCCACCTGCCCCAGAGGAGATCCATATGGCGTGGCAGACCTCTCCTGCCTGCCCGCTGTTCCCCTCAGCAGTGTACTTCGTTGATCTGCCTGTTCTGCTCCCCACTCTGTCTCTGGTGAATCCTCTTACCCTCCACATCTCTGGCCTGTACCTCAGTTCTGTATGAATAAATAAATCAATCTAAAAAAAAAAAGATGACAAATTTGGTAACTTACAAATACAAATCTTTCTTAGTGCAAACCTTAGATACTTTCTCTAAAAAAGGTTGTTTCTAAATAGCCTATTGTGGAAAATGAAGTTAACTGTTAACAATGATGTTAAATTTCAAAATTATTGCTGGTACTTGTATATGGCAAGAGTTCAGGAGAGAGAAGTTTTCAATACATTTTCAAGGATGATTTTTTTTTATTTTACAAAAGTTTATTTTACATCATTTTGTACATTTTTTTTTCCCATCTCAATTGTAATCCCCGTGGGTTTCCCATCAAGGACGATTTTTTAATAGGACTTGTCCTGTAAATGTTTTCTAGTGAAGATGCTTGTTCAGTCCAGTGATTCTCAGTGGATCTCATCAGCAGTACACTCCCTAGTACGCACTCTAGAAAGTTGTGAGGATGTTGTGATTGCCACAGTGACAGGGAGTGATACTGACTTTATGGCTGTGAAGTTTGAGGCAGTGCTGCTCAGGGAAGACTGATCCTGCATCCCTCCTGACTTTTGGATGTCTTCGTAGGCTAACCTGCCGACAGATACAAATTAATAGCTTGGTAGTACATACTAAAAATGTCCATGAGACATTAAACAAAAAGCTTACTAATCTAGAAGATTGCTAGTTTACTGTTTACTGCATAACAAAACAAACAGCAGAGTGCAGCAGTACTCATATATTAGCTCACAGCTTTCTAAGTCAGGCATGTGTTTGGCTGAGTTCACTGCACCAACTCTACAAGACTGAAACAAGGATGTCAGACACACTGGGTCTTATCTAGGGTCAGGGGAAGAGTCTGCTTCTAAGCTCTTTCAGCTTGTGAGCACATTTCAGTGTCTTACACTTAGAGGCTTGAAGTCCCATTTTCTTATTGTCACGTAGAGGTCACTCTTAGTTCCAAGAGATTGGTATTTAGTCCTTGGAAGAACATTTTTGTACCCTTTTCTTTACCTCTGACTTCCCCTTCTGGCATGAGTACAAAAAACTTGAAAGGGAGCAGGCTACCCTTACAACTTCTGCACCTTAAGATCAGATGACTTGGGCTTTACCTGCATTTGCAGATCCCCACATTACAGTCCCTAAATTAGTATTTGGTTGGATAACCAAAGAACAGAAATCTTGGGAAAACATCTTGAAAATTCTGTCTACTACAATGTGTATGAAGAGGAAAGCTAAGTGGAATGAAGATAGTCTCAAATTTATTGAATAATTTGTTCCTTCTGCACATTCTGTCCTGTATTACAACATTTCCAGCTTGCATATTTAGTTGAAAAGAATTTCAGTGCGATGTTATTGCAAAAACAATGAGACTGATTGAAAATATGTAACAGGAGAATTGAGATTCCTGTTCAGATTTTAATTACTAAGTTAGTAGAAACATGCGAAATACAGGTGTCTCCATGGATTTTGTTAATATGCATTATTTTAATACTTTCATGTTATTGCCCCTTTTGGGGGCTCAAGATAGTTCTTCAGTTTTATCCTAAAACTGTCCTCCATCCTTTACACAACTGCTTCATTGCTTCTTGTATTAATTTTTTTCTTGTCTGATCCATTTCCATTCCTTGTCAGACCATTCAAGTAAGATGGTCTCTAAGGTTTACATTCATTATCTATGACAATATCGTTTCAGGGCAGAAGGATAAGGTTTTTTTTTTTGTAATAGTTTTTTTTCCCCCCTTACCTATTATATAACTAAGGGTTATTTTGACACCATAGTTAGAATAAATAAGACATAACTCATTTGAGATTATATTGTATTTCCTTGTTTTCTGTATTTTGACTTACTTACCTTAGATATTATTCCAACTTCAGTTAAAATTACCTCCCTATTTTCCACTAAGTTTTAGTACTATTTTTTAAAATCCTAATACTGGTCTGCACATCTGTTTTATTTTCCACAGTTATCCCAAGTGATTTATGATATTTTATATCCAAACTTACAAGTTGGTATGTATATGGCTGCTTCATTTTGTCATTATGTCCACAAACATACACTGAAATACATAGCTTTTTTTTTTTAAGATTTATTTATTTATTCATACAGAACTGGGGTACAGGCCAGAGATGTGGAGGGTGAGAAGATTCACCAGAGACAGAGTAGGGAACAGAACAGGCAGATCCATGAAGTACACTGCTGAGGGGAGCAGCGGGCGGGTCAGGAGAGGTCTGCCGTGCCATGTGGTCACCTCCTGGGCAGGCGGGGATTGAACTCATGCGGAAGTGGCTTTAGCTTCTTAGTGTTGTGCTTTAACCTGCTGCGCCACCAGGGAGGGTCCTGAAATACATAGCTTTGTAAAAAAAAAATTAATTTCTTTTTGTTTCTTCTTTTTTGTTTTGTTTTGAAAATTTTGTATATATGAATTTCATTTCAGGATAGGGAAGGAGGAGTTATAAAAATAGGTGATTAAAAAGAGAAGATTGGGTCTAATAAGACTAAAACTATTGTACTATCACACAAAAAGAAAGTGGCAATCCTAGCCTGTATGTCCTACTGTTCATCAAAGCTCTTTGGACCTGATGCTACAGAATGACAGTTCTGTAGAATGTGGGACACAGGTATGTGTTGCAACTGTGGTCCTTGAGCTCCGATTGCCTACTTGGTGAGATTTACTGCTTAGGAAGTCTTCCACAAATACACAAACTGAAAGTGACCAAAAAAAAAAACAACAAAACAAAACTTTGCATTTTGTTAAATAACCTATAGCCAAATTTAAAAATAGAATTTTTGATTTTCTACTGGCAGCCATTGCTCTATGCTTACTGAAAGACTTATTTATATGAAATGAAACCATCATGTTATTGATATTTGCTAATTCTCTTTTTCCCCCTTTTCCCTTTAGATTTTGCATTGTGCAATAGGTAAGTACGGAATTTTCCCCTCCCCTGCTGTATACAGTGGCTTCTGTTTGTGCTTTAAGTCATAAATGATAAGCTAATTTGATTGTTACTGAGTATTGAAAAATTAAGCTATAATCATATATAAAATTTCTTAAATTTGCATGACTAATATCATAGGTGTTTATTTAGATATTATTATTCAATATTAAACACAGCTCACAGCTCTTCTGTTCTGTCGATTGAAAGACCTCTCCTGCTTCATTATAAGCATAACAAATAAACATTGGCATACTTATAAAAATGTGATGTGGGGTCCTAGTACTGGTCTATAGAAAGCCCTCTATAAGATCTATAGATCATTTAAGTGTTACACTCACTTTCCTTAATCTTTAAAATGGGAATTCTGCATGTATTAACAACCGCTGAGATGAAAATTATATATATAAATATATACATATGAGAGGGATTGGAAAAGAATAACTTGAAAGGGTTATACAGATTTAAGGCATTTCTACTAAAAGCTGCTGTCATGTTTCCTTTGAGGGTGGGTGGACATCAGATCCTACTCTGAAAGTGTGGCATAGCCTGGGTGGACTGTACCCCTCCAACTAAATATAAGCCCACTTTGGAGAGTTGACAGACCCCGACAGTGGTTGCTGCGCATCCGGACTTGTCTCTTCAAAGAGAGGATTTGAAACTGACACTCATTCAGGGGCTCTGAAGGTCTAAAAGCTTGAGAAACATGCATCTGAACCATTATGGCCCTAATCAACTTTATTTATAAATTAAGGGGGCACTTGCGGTATTCATGGTCCTGTGCTTGGCACTGGGGAAGAGTTCATTACACCCAGGTGGCCACACTGCAGGCTCTCCTCCCTCCGAGGCTCGTGGTAAAGAGTTGCGCCTCGGCCATTGACTAGCAGAAGGGAGAGCTACAATCAAGGGTTTCTCACGTGATTTGCAGAATCCCTGTGTCTATTATGGTGGGAATTGTTGGATAGGATAAATAGCTCATTAGTTACCCAAAAGGTCGAGAAACACTGCTTTAGACCTTCAAGCAATAGATTTGAATGGGGGTTGGGGCTTCTACTGTTACCGGAGTGGGTTAAGGAACCTGGCACAGGTCACACAGACATAGCCATTTTGTCTGATTTCATTTTATGGTGATATGGTTTTGGCTAGTGTTTAATCTCTCTCACATTCCTTTCTGAGCCATCACCTACTGAAATGGTTAAATAAATTTTAAGCATAAACTTGTAGATTGGGGATACATTGGGTCAGAGAGTGTGGTGGGATCACTTCAGGTCTTCTCCACATGGTCAGACCCTGTGCATTCATTCTTCCCATTCTCCTAACTTCAGTTTGCCTTCAAAGGGAAGATTTAGACACATATGTTTTCTAAGCATATGTATTACAATTTTCATTAACATTTCACTGTATTTTAACACCAAAATTTTCCTTATTGGTCCTGGAATATATTCTCATGTTTTTTTTTATAAAATTTCTACATTTAGAAATCAAGTTTCTGACAAGTATATTTATTCATTTATACTAAGAACATTATCGGATACCTAGCAGGCAGGATCAAGGTGAGCACTGGGAAGTGGAAGTTGAGGTGTAAGGCACAGCTCCGGCTCAGGCAACCCGTCTGAGGTACTCCAGGACTAGCATCAAGAACCTGTCTGAGGTACTCCAGGACTAGCATCCTGGTGGCCTTGTGTCCTGATGGTGTGTTGACAGGTGCAAGAACCTTTGTTCTAGCTATGGATACTTTAAAAGTCCTCATTTGTTCTAGACCTTGTTCTGTTAGTAATTTGCTCTTCTAGATCATCACCCTTTTTATCTGTTTTATCCATTTCAATTCACTAAATGCTTAGTTTTCCAAATCCTGTGGGGCCTCCCTGGTGGCCTAGGGGTTAAGTCTCAGTACTATCATCGCTTCAGCCTGAGTTTGATCCCCAGCCATGGAGCTGACCCACATATGGCACAGCAGACCTCTCTTGTCTCACTCATTGCTCCCCCTAGCAGTGGTTTTCAGTAAAATCTGCTTGTTCTGCTCTCCATTCTGTCTTTGCTGAATCCCTTGTTCCCCGCACCTCTGGCCTGTGCTCTGGTTCTTCTACGCACATATAAATAAATAATTTTTTTTTTAATCTTAAAACTAACCTTTGACTCTCTATTCACTCCATACTGCTATATAATTCTTCTCCATCCCTTTTGTCAGATTTGTTATAGACTTTCTACTTCCCTGTTCTCATTTATACCTTAACCCAGAAGTCAGGCTCCTGTCCCCCTTGTTCTGCTAAAATTGCCCCCTGGTCTAAAATCAGCAATAGTGTTGTTCTTTTGACTGAACATGCCGTCTGTGGCATTCTCTTCTCACAATCCGAGATACTTAAGTGGGTATAAGACACCCACTTTTCTAATTTCAAGTCGTACCTGTACCCCAGACTCAGCTCTTCCACTGGTCTTCTGAATATCCACTCCTGGAGGCATACCTCCTGCTCAGTATGACTCAAACTCCCAAAATTGTGCTGTCTCCTGTATTTTTGGGAATGGTGTGCGTGTGGGGGAAGTCCCCACAATCAGGTCAGGTGCCTAAACTTGCTCTGCTTCCAATATTCTCTTTGTCAAGGAAACTATCAGCCACTGGCTATTCACTCCCTCAGCCTAGATATGGAGCCCATCCACGGTGCCTCTTCCTTTACCTGAACTCCCATAGCCAGGTGGTCATCAGGTTTTAACAGTCCTGTTTGCTGAGTATTTCAGATTGCTTTGTTTTTTCATCCCTGTTCAGGGGGCCTCTATTTGTCTCTTACTGACTGCTGGGTCTCCTGAACATCTGGGCTATGACAACCATAAGAGCTACCATTTTTTAAATATTTATTGTGATCTGGTGCTTTACATTCATTATCTCATTTCCATTCCATTTTATAGTTGATAGCACTGAGGCTTAATAGGTTTTATGTCTTTCCAGAATATACCCAATTAATAAGCCCATGGACTTAGAATTGAACCTATGGCTGTGTGATTCCAAATTCATGCCTCACACAGTTCTGAAGAGATGTAGTTAAAGGGTCCATCACTGGAGCATATCACATCCCTGCTTAAAACTTTTCACTCGGCCCTGCCTGGTGACACAGGGGTTAAGTCTCAGCACTGTGAAGCTGTCTGCAGCCACTGCAGCCTGAGTTTGAGCCCCAGCCAGGGAGCTGACCCACAGGGCACATTGGACCTCTCCTGTCTTGCCCACTGCTCCCCACTCTGTGGTGAATCCTCTCATCCCATCCCCCCTCTCACCCGCTGCACCTCTGGTCTACACCCTATTCCTTGTATGCATAAGTAAATCAATCTTCCAAAAAATATTGACTAGTTTAAACTTCTTCATGATTTGGACTCTGTCCACCTCCCCTGTTCTCCCTTTCCCATTCCTGTGGGTCTCTGCATGAACTGTGCATTTTTCTCACTTCAGTTCTGTGCCCAGACTTGGTGCTCTGTCTGTAATAAGGACCCCACTCCTTTCAACTGAAGTCCTCTCGATTCTTCAGTAGACTTCCCCACTTCCCAAGGAATAGATTAAGTCAGTACCTTTCCTCACTTTTCTGTGATGCCCTGCACCTCACTCTGTTGTTACACTTTCCTACTGTATTGTGCTCTAGCACTACACTTGTTTCCCTCCACCAACACTTCTGAGTGTTTTTTTATGAAAATTATTTTTTTACTTTTTAAAACCACCCTTATTTATTTTTTCACAGTATAGCCTATCCTCCCTCAGTTGTAGTCACCATGATTTTCATGCCACCAAAATGCCTATCGTCCCTCCACCACGCACTCCTTCCACCCTGTTCTCTACCTTACCCCCCCTTCCCCCTCCCCTTCTGAATGTCTCAGATCTCAGGTCTGCTTGCAAGGGTCAGTCTTACAGTTTGTCTTTGTCTGATCCTTTGTTTGGTTTCTCTAGATTCCACATATAAGCAAAACCATCTGGTATTTATCTTTCTTCTTCTGGCTTACTTTGCTCAGAATAACCTCTTCCAGTTCCATCCATGTTCTGGCAAACGGCATGAGTTTGTCTTTTTGATGGCTGGGTAGTGTGCCATTGTGTGTATACACCACACCTTCTTGATCTACACATCTGTCGTTGGACATTTAGGTTGATTCCGTATCTTGGCATTGCAAATAGCGCTGCTGTCAACATAGGGGTGCAGATTTCCTTTCAAATTCGTATTTTCTGTTCTTTGGATAGATACCTCTTGAGTGGAAATTCCGGCTCATATAGTAAATCCATTTTTAGGAAACTCCGTACTTCTCTATACAAGCAGGTCCGGTCTACACCCCCACCGTGTAACTGGGTTCTTTTTGACAGCAGTGTTGAGAATTCTTTCATATTGATTCCTACCTGTGTCCTAGCACGTGGCACCTTGTGGGAGGTCAGTGAACATTTGGTCATCATCTTTGCAAATGCTGGTGAAATTTTCCAAAATTTGTTTTAGAATGTTTTCATGTTTAGCAGCAGAGATCTCTGGAAGAAAGCTTCCTGGAGGGAAGGTGTTTTTTCCTCCGATTTGCTCACCTGTTTTCACCCTTCCTCTCCTGCAGTCGGCCTTGGTCATTTAGTCAGGAGAGTCATTTTCTGGAGTCTTGACATCAGAGCTCTGTATCAAGATTCTGTGACCATGTTCAAATCATAACCTTTCCCAAACCTGTCAAGCCCTTCACTCCAGCCTAACAAGTATCCCTCTGCCTTGATTCTTGGCTCACGGTGTTGCCTCCTGATCAAATTTTGCCTCCTCCAGTCCAGACAGACGAGAGGAGGAAGGATTGTTTCAGCACTCTTCATCTGATGTCCTGATGCCCATAGCCTCAGCCCTCATTTTCTAAATAAACTGCGTTTTTTCACATCTCCAGAATTTCATATGAACAATTTCCTTTGCCCGGAACACCTAGCTCTGTTAGTTGTTCCCTGCTTGTATGAGATGAAGGGAAAGGAGAAATAAAGCGCCCTCACTAGGACTCCAGAG